ACTTCTTTGTTACCATGTAGTCCTTTGTGGCCTGGGATCCATTTGATTGTAATGTCAAAGAGGGGGTGTTCACATGCTAGTTGGTGCATCATTGTTTTAAATTTGTCTGCTAAGTATGTTCCTGGGCGGGCTATCAGACTCTCACCAGATCAGATTGCAGCTTGATTGTCGATCAATATCATGGCCAGGAAGATTGGGTCTTCTTCTGTTGCAATTAGGTGGGCTGCTAGGATTAGTCTGACTTCTTCTGCCTTGTATACAGTGTGTTGTTTGTCTGTGCCTAGGTGATATTTCAGGGTGCATGGGCGCTTCCCTGCTCAGAATAGGATGGCAGCTGATCTGATGTTGCCTTTGAGGCCAGATCCATCACAATAGATCTGGATAAGTTCTGTTGTGCTTTCACTTTCCTTGATTGCCATTGTAGAGACTTGCACCTCTATATTGCCACTATAGGACGATATACCACCCCTTCCCACTGATACTCCAGTTCTGATCCTTGGGATAAGTCACTCATGCTATCATGTGCTAACATGCAGCTGTGGTGCGCATGTGAATGCACTTGCATGTACTATGTGCCTGATCTAGGTCCTCTGCTCCAGTCCATCCATCCATCCATGTCCTTGCTAAAGTCCACTGGTGCATTTTTATTGTATTCTTATCACTCTGACATATCTTCTGGACTGATTATGGTGCTGTAAATGCGCATGTGTGTGCTTAAGCACCATTACATACAGATATTGCTACCTACTCGCTTCGCTTCCACACTACAAGTGAGACCTAGCACTCAATATAGAGAAGGGGCTTATAGTTTTTTGAAAAAAAAAGGATCCTAGCACTCCCCACCTCTGTGTATTAGCAGTAGTTTGCACATTAGAGAAAGTTGAAAGCTCCCAAAAGTCCAAATTCACACACTACCTGCTTAGACATGATCATCTTGCGCCAGTTTGATTCCTTCTTCACTGGATTTAGTTTCTAGATAGCTCTTGCCTCTATGCTTTAGACCCCCATCATGTGCACTGTCATATCCCACAATCCAGACCCATGTTCCATCATATTCCCATGCCTTCTGAGCCTATGTCTGGACCACACTTCATATCCAACTCATTCCCAGATCCCCTTCCACTGTGTGCTCCACACCTCAGCAGGATCAACTACACTCCGGATTTACCCCTGAGCTCCGGACCATCGGATCTCCACTGCTAGCCTGAACCATAACCCCCTGTCCCATCCACCCTATGTACACTCCATCCAGCAAGACATTCGGACTTCACCTTGTCTCGGATTCCGGACTCTATCCACCTTCTCATATCCCAGTCCTGTATCCACCTTGTCTTCCAGATCCCCAGATCTCCAGACCTATTCCCACCCTCTGTCTGATATCCTGTGCCTATCCCCATTTAGGCATTCTCTGCCTTCTGGCTTTCGGTTACCTCTTGTTCTGTCTTGCTTATTGATCCTTGTATGAGTCCTCATCTCTGAGTTCATTTACTTATGTTCCAACTTACTTACTAATGTGTTTCCATATGCTCATACATAGCCTTGCTCCTTTGCTTACTGATCCCCTCAGATATTGTTCAGTATATAACCCCTGTAGATACTCCTGTAGTTCCTCAGTTTGAATATCAACTTAGAGTTGCCCAATCCTCTCTTGGACTTTGATCTACCTAAGTCTGTCCTACCCATCAGGCCTAGGGATTGATTCCCTAGGCCGGAGCTCCACCTTTCCGGCACTTTCCCTCTTTCCGGACTTAGGTCCAATCCCTGTCTCTCCGACTCTACCTTAGGATAGTCTACCTCTGTTTGCTTCTACATCAGACTTCGTCCGATGTAGCCCCTATTCTTTCTGGACCTCCGGACATCCTGTCCTTCCATCCTGTTTCCTGTAGAAGTATTACCTTGTAGTGGGAACTCTCCTGAGCACTTCCTGTATTCCTCCGGAACTCTCCCATGCTCCTCCGGACGTTTCCTGCACTCCTCCGGAAGTCCTCTAGCGCTCTCCAGCAGAGTAGCCAGCCTCCAGAAGTCCTCCAGACTTTGTTGGACCATTATCGGACCTCATACGAAATGAAGGGCACATACTTGGGTAAGGGGCACAGCATATGAGCTGAGGCCAAGCCCCTCTGAGTCAGTCTCTCTTCCCCTTGAGCAACATGGTTCTTAACATGCACCATGTATCCATGCACACACTCTTACTTCCTATCACCCCAGCATGCTTTTGTGCACATCTCAACTGCACTTCACATATCCTCTAGTGCCCGTTCGGTTTCAGAGTCTCCCTCAGTCATTTCGAGGACTCTCTCTCAGTAGCTGTCCTTTGGGTTGAGTTCTGTCTCACATCCAGGTCTTGCTGTAGAGTTCCCCTAGTAGTAGTCAGTCTCTCCCATAGTCTATAGAGCTCACCTTCACTATTTCTCTTGATTCTGCTATATGGGTCTTGAAGGGTAGGTGTGTTGTTGGAGGGCGTTGGTCTGGGATGAGGGTTTCAATGTCGTCTGGGGTGATGGAAAAGAAGTGAGTGAGCTTGTGGAATGCAGAGTGATGAGAGGAAATGAAATGCTTAATGGCTTGTTTGACTGGTTGGTGGAGTGGATGATTCTTTGTGTGCACAGATAGGTGGACTATGGCTTGGTGGCAGACATTCTGGAGGAGGAGTGGTATTAGGAGGAGGTTGGCATGTGTCTTGACAAGGTCCATTGCAGTGCTTCTCATGGCTCCTGTCATTGTGATGGCTGCAATGTGTTAGACAGCTGTTAGTTTGCAGGCTGTACCAATGGAGCCGTGTTGGAGTGAGTCTGAACCAGGGTGGAATGCTAGTGTGAACCAGAGGTCTGCGGTGTATAACATCTTCAGGATTGCTACTGCTTGATATAGTTGATGCATGAGTTGGAGAGGTAGGCCTTTGGATATGGTGCCAAGTCTTCTGAGTTGCAGGACATATGCTGTTCCTTTGGCTACTGCATTATTGATTTGTGGCTTCCACCTGAGTTCTTGGTCAAGGAGGACTCCTAGGAAGTGGTGAGTAGGTGATAGCTTGATTTTTACTTCTTGGACTGTGAGGGTCGATTGTTCCTTGGTTCTGTTCATGGAGAAATCCATTAGGGTGAACTTGTTGGTTTCAAAATGTGAGTTGTGGCTATGGGACTAGTTGAAACCTCCTCCTGGTCATTCCAGTATGTCTTTGAGGATGCGGTGGGTGGTGTGGAAGTTCCTTGCTATTGCCATGAATGCTGTATCATCTACGAAAGCTAAGGTTAGTTCTTCTAGGGCTGCCCTACCTTTGCAAGGTTTTGCAACTTTGACTAGATCTGTGTTGTATATGATATACAGAACCATTGATAAAGGGTTGCCTTGGCTGATGCTGTTCTTGATGGGGATCCAATCTGATGTGAAGCCATCAAAGTGGAGGTGAGTTGATCTGTTCATTAGTAGACATTCTGTGAAGTCTACTAACTTCCTTGGTATTTTCCACATGTGCATGTTGTGCAGGAGCCTTTTCATTACCACATTAGGGAACACCCCTTCTATATCTAGAAATAGTACTGATACAACTTTGTGGTTTCTCCAGGTGTGTTTGATGGTGCTTTCAAGCAGATAGAGCAAATCTGTCATGGACCTGCCTGGACAGCCTCCAAAGTGAGTGTTGGGCAGTAGCTTGTGGTGTTCTAGTATGTAGATGAGTTGTTCCATGACAATGGCTGTGGGGAGTTTGCTGGTGGTGTTGAGGAGGGCAATGGGATGGAAGGCTTTTCATGTGGAATAGCTGGGCTTGCCTGGTTTCCTTAAGACAATGGTGGTGAACTGGCACCATTCATTGAAGTATGTGTGGTATATGAAGGTGGCATTGAAGAGGTGTAGGAGGTAGGGGACTAGGATGGTATTACATTTTTTGAACACTATGTTACATACGCCATTGGGACCTGGGGCCTTGTATCTGCTGAGTTTGCTGATTGCAAGGGTGACTTGGTCTTTGGTGATTCAGTGGTATGGGGCTACAGGATCTGGGTATATGTAGTCAGTTGGTACAGTATTGATAGGAGGAGGAGGAGGAGGAGGAAAGAGTGCTTTGGCTATTAGGATGCTTTTTCTGTGTTAGTGAAGGCTTTGGTGGTAGTTCCATTGGCATTGACCTTGGTGAGGGTTGGAATGCATGACTTTCCCCCATCACTTGGGGCTAGGGTAAGGTACTGGTTTGCTGTCCATAGGTCATTGCCTTCCATGTTCTCTAACCATTTGATCCAGTGCTGCTTCTTCATGTTGGTGATTTCTTGGGCATATTGGTGTCTTATTGTCTTGAGTTCATTGTGGCATGGATGGTTCAGGATGGCTTGCATTTGATATGCTTGATGGCTTAGGTGATTGACATTGTGGTGACAGTTGGAGAGGTCTTTGGTCCACCAGCATTTGGAATGGGGGCTGGGTTTGGAGTAAGGTACGCATGTGTTGATTGTATCCATGATGGCCTTGGCCAATCCCTCCACTGAAGTCTGAAATTCTTTGTTAGATGCTAGGGGTAGTGTGGGATAGGGAGAGAGGAGGTTCTTAAGCTTGTCATTGAAGTCTTCCCAGTCTACTTCGTGCCAGTTGCATTGGGGCATTTTGTCCATCTTCAGCATTGTGAGCTTTAGTATAGTGGTTATAGGGATGTGGTCAGTGCATGGGCCTCTTTGGGAGGGGTTTGTTGTGCATTCTATAAGAGCTTCATTGGTGTGTTTTGTGCCAAAGACATTATCTGGTCTTGTCCAGTTTTTCATGCTCAAGGATTGGAGGGTGGGGGTGCCTAGAGGGAGGAATTGGATCATTCTGAAGTCAGTGATTAGGTCTATTAGGGATTAGGTGTGTCTATAGTTGAATAGGTGTTGGTTTCTGGTTTCTTCCCAGAGGGGGTGGTGGTGGTTGAAGTTGCCTAGACATAGAATGTGGTTGTTGAAGGCAGGGTATATCATTGCTATATTACATGTCAGGTATTTGGTTAATGTATTGAGCATGTCTTGTTTTTTGCAGTTGTTGTATATGTTCAGGATGGTACAAGTTCTGTATGGTCCAGATAGTTGTACAATAGTGACATCAGATGAGGAAAAGGGTATCTGTCTCCAATGATTAGTATCTAGGGACTTGTTTACAAATATACATGTGCGGGTTTTAGATTGGGGGTGTGTGTGGTGGTGGGTTAGATAGAGGACATCCCATCTATAGTTGGCTCAGGTATTATGGAGTAAGCTAATGTGGGGTTCTTGGAGGGTGACAACATCGAATTCTGACAGTTTATGGCTGTTCAACAGTGATTCTTGTGCGGCAAGGGATGTATTAAGGTTTTGCTGCCAAATCTTTAGTCTAACAGGATGGTTTTCAGGTTCATTAGACATTAAGGTTGGGGACGGAGGTTCCACTGTCAGATTCTAGTTCATCATTTTGAAGAAGGGAGAAGAAATTAGAGTTTGAGGATAGGGAGGGTGATAGGATGAGGTTTTGGGAGTGGAAGTTGAGGGTGCTTTGTTTGAGGGTCCTGGGGTTTTGTGTTCTGGTGTATAGGCTTTGCAGTAGTGGGAGTTGGGGTGATCTGGGTCATTGAGGTTTGGGTTTTGTTGGTCATATGACTAGTGTCCAGTCCATATCCATTGGGAAATATGGCATCCTGTTCTCAGGGTATTTTTTGTCGAGTTCTTCACAGCATTGCTTGAAGATTGGGCATGAGCAGCTCCAGCTTGCATGGTTTTGGGTTTTGCAGTTAATGCAGCATTCTGTTTGGTATGCATTGCATGTGGTTGTGTGGTGGGATCCTCCACAGGTTGCATATGTGTCTACCAGTGTTTTGCAATTGTGTGCAATGTGTCCAAATTTCTGACACTTGGCATAGTGGATGGGCTCTTTCTTATCTTTGTGCACTGTAATATGTTCATTAGTGATGCATATGCCTTCTTGAAGAATGGAATTGGCCATGTGTGCGTCTCTAAGATGAATCATTGTGAATGCTTTCCTTTGCTCATTGGATTGACATTGGGGTGGTTTGATCCAATGCATGAAGGCTGTGGTTTCATCTGGGAGGTTGTTGTTCTTTTTGATTCTGTGTAATAGGTCAACATTGCTGAGGGGAAGGTTGATGGGTAGGTATTGACCAACTATGGGGAAGGTTTGTTTTTGGATACAAGTCATTGGGCCTAGTTGTTCCATTAGTAGAGTTTTGCCTTCTGTTCCTTGTAGCCATTTGGCTAAGAGTTCATTGTTGAATTCAATTATCAATCCCCCATTGTGGAGGGGGAGGACCATTTTGACTTCACCAGGTGGGGTGTCTTGTCATTTGATGAATGCAAGGACAGCTGAGATTTTCTCAGTGATGTCTGAGCAGGGTGTGTTAGGAGGGAAGATTTGGTTGCCAGGGGTTGAGTCCAGTATAATTTGCCTTTCATGTGCTGCTGCCCTGGCTAGCACTTGGTCCACCATGGGGGGGAGATTGGTTGCTGTGATTGCACTACAGGATTGCCAGCTGGCCATTGTTTGAGAAGTGGGGTTGGATAGGGTCTTGGTCATTAAGTCCTTGATTTTGGTCTGGAGTGAATTGACAGCGGGAGTGAGTATTTTGATTGTGTCTTTGATGTCTGCAATGCTACTGTACACTCCATCTGCTACTTCTTCTACTCTTTTGATCATGGCTTGTATGACTATTTGGTCTGGGTCCTTCTCTGTTATGGTGCTAATGATTTTCTCCAGGTGTGTGATGGGTCCTTCTAGTTTTGTGGATATGCTGTTAGATATGAGATTAATTTTATGGTCATGGTCAGATTTAATTAAGGGAATAGCTATGGCTCTGATGACATCTATGTGCATGGACATTAGAGAGTGAGCTTGGACAGTCAAGGAGAGCAGTGGTTATGGATTCCACTGTGATCTCTGTAGCTGGGGTTATGAAGAGCTTTCTTTCCAGTTCTGCACATACCATTTGCTCATCTTTAACATTGGATTGGTTTGCTGGGTCATTTATTAGGTCAGGAATTGATCTATTGGAGAGATGGAAGTTGTTTGCATGGCATTGGGGTCTGGTGGACTTCAAGCCTTGGGATTCATTTGGTTCTTCTGTTGACATTTCTAAGGGATGATGTTAGTTTTTAGCAGTACTTAGGGTGTTGTTTGGGACTGGAAGGTCACCATTGGGTGCAGTGTTGACTGGGAGTTTTTTGGGGTCCTAGTCAGGGTGCCACTCAGTACAGAGCTAAGAGGCGATTCCATACCTTACCTTGACTATTGTATGTCTGTTGTCACCCTTATTAACTTTGCTTCCCTTGCTTATGTATTTCTTGACTCTTGACTGTTCTTCTGTCACTTTGCCTGCTGTGCAATGTGTTTCCTTTGTGGCACACCATGGCTTCATGTCATATCCACATATCCAGATCTCAGATCTAATCCACATCTTATCTCCAATCTTATCCACATCTTATCCCTCTCCAACATCTCATCATTCAATCTGCCCACTTGTCCAGTCCAGTCCACAATTCATCTGAATCCATAACCAGCACTTGTCTCATTTTGGTAATCCCCTAACTCCAGTATTTCGGTTATCTGTATATCTGTCCTGCTCACTGATCTGTTACCTATGCTTCATTTTCATTTTATTATTTGTGATCTGTTTCTACTTACCAATAGACTATCTATATGCTTCATACATAGCCTCGGACCCTGCTGATTGATCATTCCATTAGATACCTATAGTATATAACCTTCTGTAAATCTCTGTAACACCTCAGTTCAAATATCATCTTAGTTCTACTCATTCCTGTCCTCCAGACTTGAGTATCTCTACTCTCGTCACCCTCTGAGACTTAGGATTGATTCCTATAGTCTATCTGTATCTGCCTCTGTCTACGACAGTGCACTACTGTTAGTTTCTAGTCTGGACTCATCCATATTAGCCCTATGATACTTATCCTGCATCCAGAAGTCATCCAGATCCGCTATGCTACTCATCTGATCCTCCAGATGTGTTAGTCTTGTCCTTCTGAAATAAGGGGCACAGTGCACAAGCTGAGGCCAAAGCCCTTAGGATCTGTTAGCCCTTGAGTATGACCTTAACACTTCAGCTATGTGCAACAGCATCCAATGATGCTTTGCTTTGCTTATTTCTGCCATGTCTCTGTCAGATGTCTTCATCAGGACATCCCACAACCATGTACATGTTCTCACAGACATTTCTCATGATAAATGCATTCACTTCCTTTTGAGGCAAAGTTCCCATGCTCACTCTCACTCATATTCATTTGATTGACCATGTGTGATATTGGATCATTGTTATTTATTTATTTATATGTGTGGTTATGTGTTTGCATATCTATCTACATATGATATATGGAGGTATTGAGTTGACACACACTTGTAGAAATTGGTCCATGTACTGTGCATCTAGAGCCGTATCTAGATGTGGCTCAATGGAGTCTCTCATATCATATCTATGATCTGATGTGATACATCTGGAGCTGACTCTAGATGCAGGTGATATGAGAGATATTTACAGACATGATATTAAGAGTCAAATGCAACCAAACCACATGCATGATGACTGACAATGAGCTGGGATGTTATCCTACAATATTAACCAATGCACACAACAGTACTATCATCAAACTTCATCTCATTTGGAGGCAACACTGGACATGACTTGTCACCATTCTGATTGCCACAGCCAGGCTAATGAATGTGATGTCACCTTGCAGCTGGAGCTGCTATCTCATGTATCTCAATCTTGTCATCTGCTTCATCTATTGCTATGCTTGATGATGCTGCCCACTTTCCCAATGATGTGGAGGTGATGCCTAATGAGATGTGTTTCAATATGAGTTTGTGAAGTGCAATCAAGTTCACTATGCACCTGGATTCACAGTGTAGGTATGAGTTGTTATCCCAAGAATCTGAGCCTACACTAATCCAAAGAGGATCTGACCCACTTGATAGGGACCAAACTGTTGACCACAGAGCATTTTGATGATCTTCTGATGAAGTTTCCCCACCTCATTGCATGTTAGGATGTTCCAATCAATGTTGAGGGTTCCCCCTTTCCAGATGCATCCAGACCAAGTGCTGGCCAATCCCAAGCAGACGAGAAGGAGAGGACATATGCCTTTATTGCTGTGCTTCTTGGTCCATGTACTAGGGAAGGTCTTGGCTACTTTGAAATGATCATGGAGAGGACTGCTGCAATTGAAGACAGCCATGATGTACACAGGGACCATTGCCATGAACTGAGCTGCAATTTTGCACCCTTTGTGGCTGGCATTAGAGGTCCATGGCATCTTACAAATGGCCTTAGTGAAAGCAAACATTGTGCAGTGGCTCTCATGGTCTGGATGATCTTCAATGTCATAAAAGAGATCTGGAATTAATTTGCTGACATATATGCCTACCAAGATAGCCAGCTGGTAAAGTGGTCAGGACATATCAAACTCAGCAAAGGCCCACTGATATGTCCTACAAACAATAGAGTCCTTGGGCTCAGACTTGTCTAATGCAACAGAGTCCATTGAGAACTCATCAGGGGGCACAGTGTGAGAAAGAAAGTCTGGTAAATATTGCAGAGTGATGGAGCAAGCTGCCCAGGATGCACATAAACTGGTGGCCTACACATGTTGCAAAGCTTCTGCTGTGCCATTTGTGACTTGAGAGGTGAGAGACTTTGCGCTTGGAAGTTGAGCTGCTTTGCTGAGATTTATCCATGATTCAAAATGAGGTTTGCAATGGTGATAACCCCAACCTCCAGAGAGATACCATAGAATATTATTGATATGAAGAGTATTGGCAGTGATGATGAAAGCATTTTGTAAAAAAAGATCAGCAGCACTTGGAGAATCATGTGGGACAAACTTTGACATATAGATTAAGGCCACTCAAAAGACCATGGGAGAGGAGGAGATAGAGAGAAGGGGAGCTGTGACAGGGACCAGGTCTGTAGGGCATGACATGTTAACTAGGAGCTTTGTGAAGTCACAGATGAAAAGCTTTTGCTGGGTAGGATTAGGGAGGCCTAAACTGTAGTCACCAGAATCACCAATGATAGAGTGGAGAGGATATTCAAAGGCTCTGTCGAGATAGCTCAGAGGATGCTTGCAGGCCAACCATTTTTTAAGATTATGGCAGTGTGTCCTGGCTTCAAGGCAGGCAGAATGGGTGTCTTGGTTGTCAAGATCAGCACAGACCTTAGTAATGGCAATGGAGACCAGTGTCTTGGTATCGGCAATGAATGATTAAAGGGTGACAATAGTGATGATGGTGTGGTGAAGATTCTGGTCATACTGCATGAATGCAGTGGGAGAAGGGTTGTTGACAGACAGCTGTATATGAAATTCAGCTTCATATACCTGTCATGTATGAAAATGAGGTCTTTGAAATCCAAGATAGTGGGATGCTGTTACAAACTAGGATATTGTAACAGCAGCAGCTTGATAAGAACAATGGCTGATGTTATAATCAAGACCTCGCAAAATGCAAGGGTCGTAAGACAAGGCAAAGAGAGTGTCTCTGACTTGAATATCAGTTTTAGACGACTTAGGATTGGAGGTCCTAAGCAAGAGATATTCCAGGTGAAACCTAGTAAGATTAAAGTAAAGATCTCCTAAGTACATCATTGACCATATATATAACTATAGGTGATTCAGGGCAGGTGTAGGTCAATGATGAGTCAGAGATAAAAGATGAGTCATCTAACAACAGCAGTGGTGATTGTGATGTAATACAAATGAGTCAGAGATAAAGGATGAGTCATCTAATGATGGCAGTGGCAATCGTGATGTAATACAATGGAAAAGTAGGAAAAATGGATAAGGGTGTATGTGACTGTAACAGATGCACTTGCCTCAAAATGATCCAATCCATAGGTAAGGATCTGAGCTCGCTTTGAAGTTATGGCAGGCAGGTTGGAACAAGTGACAATGGGCCAATCAGCAGGACTGACTGAGACTGGTATTGTCATAGTGGCAATTAGACAGATAGTGTGTGACATGGTTGGCTAACCTTGCTGGAGAAGACTTTTGATCAGCCAGAAAGGTCTCATTAAGCTGGACAACAATACCTTGGCATTGCCAGTATGGGCATACACCAAGGCTCTCTTGAGCATCACACAGATCTTGATCATTTGAGGAGATGGCTTCTTGTTCAACTTCAGAAGGGGCTGCTAATGCTCCCATATGCATTTGAGGAGAGACATTATGCCAAATGTCATCCACTGATATATCTGTGGGAAGGCCTGTAATAAAGCAAAGCAAAGGCAGTCAGCACAATGCAATGACATGCACATCTAGAGTCAATTCCAGTTGCGCAGCATGATCAAGATGATGGCCCCACAGAATCATGAAGCACACAAACAAAAGACACCCACATCTAGAGCCTACTCCAGTTGCACAGCATAATTGAGACAATACCCCTAATACACCTGTGGGTGCATCTAGAGCTGGCTCTACATAAGAAGCAGTGCAATGCCCAATATGTATGTTCACCATGTGTTGATCAAATGGACAAGAAGGAACTCACATGTGGCACAAACACAGCCAAGTGAGGATGCAAGGCATCACAGATGTAGGGATGAGACCATGCATTGGTAAGTGGAATGATGACATCAAGATAAATTGACCTGGATGGGATGTACAGATTAAGAACAATGGTCAGTGGGTGGAATAGAAGAGGATGCTCATAGAACACACATCCCATTTCTCTTAGCAGGATCCATTGATTCAAGCTGCAACATATAGATGTTTTCAAGACACAGATTGCAGGGCACATTCTCAAGTTTGATGGAATTATTATAACATTGATGAGGCAGCAAGATGCAACAGTTGTGCATGATGCCAGTATGAATGTGCTTGCCAGTGAAGGAATTAACTACTAGGCTATGGTACTACAAGGAATACCAAGTCAGAGTATACGTGTGATCATCTCAGCTCTGCCTAGGCTGCTATACTTCACACAGGCAAGTGCATTCAACCCAAGGGGAAGCAAGTGCAACACATCCACAGGTCATGCAAAGCATGGGAAAGTTGTGCACTAATAGGTGAAAGTGCGCAAAGGGCTAGGAATGTGATGGGGACTAAGGGAAGATGATAGTTGATACTGATGGGTGTGAGAATGACAAATGTGATGAAGATGGAGTGTGATTGCCAAATGCTACTGACTATGGCTCAAAAATGCATGCACTATGCTGAGGGATGCTCAGGGATACTAACTGGGAACTAAGTGGTAGCTAACTAAGTGATAAAAATATGAATGCTAACATGCAAAAGCCAACTAAGTGCATTCCTACGATGCAGAGCTGACATGAGTAAGGTGTGAGAATGAAGAGGGTATATGTAAGTAAGGGTCCATGATGGAATATGGTGTCATGATAAGAATAAATGCAAAAATGTACCAGTAGGACTTGCTGGACAATGGATGGATGCTCCTGGATGATGGGTGATGAAGCATGGGACATGCACAGGAACTGGGAGAGTAGTGCACATGTCGCACGATGCATGGGAAGATCACATGTGTATAGGCTGAGTGGGAGAATGATATAGGGAATGATGCTGCAAGTTCATGCTGCAAACTGCATGCAGATACATCACAATATTGGGTTCTATGGGCATACAGAGGTGCGAGTCTCTACACTAGCACCCTGCACATAGCTTCCAGACAAAGCAGACATGATATGTCCTTGTTGGACATTGTGGAGGCCAGCATTAGGTCAAACCCAATGAGATATCTCATTGTAGAACTGGCAGCCAGTAGCGATGATAGTAGGAGGAATCAGCTTGCCATTGTCAGGCACCACATTGATGATGCCATCATCATCATCATTGCCATTGTTTACTCTGTTTGTGTGTGGTCAACCACATGTCACATTGGCTTGAACTTTTTTAAGGAATGTCTTGAAGTGAGGGAGAATGGAATCTGACTGAAGATGGCTGTACTTCTGCATGAAGGCTTGAGGATATACTTTGATCTTGGCATCCTGCTCTTCATCAATATCAAGGATGTCCAGATCTAAATCCAAGTGCTCATCATGAGTGACATATTAAGGAAACAGTTGAGGAATTGTCTCCAGATTTATGAGAAGACTGCATTTGGGACCATCAATGAGGCCCCTGCCATTGAGATGAGGGATGCAATGACCTTCCTCATCATAGATATTGACTTCTTTCTGTGTTTCAGGTTCATGGAGTGGGAGAGAATGAAGGTCATCTGGGTATCTGATGTCAGGGTCAGGGGGGCTGTATATGTGTCATATCTGCATATCTGGATCTCAGATCCAACCCTTATCTCATCTCAGATCCACATCTTATCTCCAATCCTATCCACATCTTATCTCCCTCCAACATCTCATCATTCAATCTGTCCACTCATCCGGTCTGGTTTACAACTTATCCAAATCCACAACCAGTGCTCGTCTCCTTTCAGTAACCCCCTAACTCCAGTGTTTCAGTTATCTGTATATTCGTCCTGCTCCCTGATCTGTTACCTATGTTTTATTTCTGTTTCATGATTTGTGATCCATTTCTACTTACCAATAGACTATCCACATGCTTCATACATAGCCTCGGGCTCTGCTGATTAATCATTCTGTTAGATACCTATAGTATATAACCTCCTGTAACTTTCTGTAGTACCTCAGTTTGAATATCATCTTAGTTCTACTCATTCCTGTCCTCTGGACTTGAGTACTTCTACTCTCGTCACCCTCCAAGTCTTAGGATTGACTCCTATAGTCTATCCATATCTGCCTCTGTCTCCAACAGTCCATTACCGTTAGCTTCTAGTCTGGACTTGTCTGGATTAGCCCTACAATACTTATCCCTCATCTGGAAGTCATCTAGATCTGTTATGCTACTTGTCCAACCTTCCGGACGCATTAGTCTTGCCTTCCTGAAATAAGGGGCAATACTCAGGTAAGGGGCACAGCGCACAAGCTGAGGCCAAAGCCCTTTGGATCCAGTTATCCCTTGAGTACAACCTTAACAATATGACATCATGGATAGAGAGGATGTCATTGACAGAAACCTCAACCCAGTCTCTGACAATCATACAACTGTGTGGAATAAAAATCATCATGTGAGGAGGGAGGTCAGCAAGTGTCCAGGCAAGACAGAAGAGAGAGACAGGATGTATGATATGTGGGTTGCGACTGCCATGGATAGGTAACAAATGTTGGTATAATCATGTTCATGGTTCCAATTTCAAGCCTCTACACAAAGAGCATGTTGATTGGTACTTGCTATTGGCTGGTTCTGCCCATAATGACATGCAACAGAAAGAGGGATGTGCTGCTGAAGCCAACCATCCTTCAACCAGGATGAGGGTGCATTGGCAACAAAATCATCATATTGAATTTTCATCATTCAGTTCAACATCAAGACATCCTGCAAGCATAAGGTGATGGTGTGCTGGTCACTAATATGTGTAGAAGGATGTCAGTGAAGGCCATTATCAATGAGATAAAATACTGCCACAACCAGGGTTGATTCTGAATGTGGTACAGAAGAAAGGAGAATATGACATATACATACAGCATGTTAGTTGTGTCTTCAATTTTCCAGTCATGGAACTCAGAGTGAGGTCCATATGGGTGCATGACATGGACAGCCATGGATGGAATCTGGCTCAGAAGGCAGGCAAGAAACATGACACCCATGCAATAGTGAACAGAGGTCAAATAAGTATCACCATGCTTCTCATTCAGAAGAGGAGTGTAATTGGTGATGTTGATATCTTTGATGTTGGCAACAGGGCTAAAGCCAAACCATAGCTCAGTCAACTGACCATCGCTGATGGCCATCATTGAGCCTGTTGGATCAAAGCCAAGTTTTCCAAACTTGGGACAGAACTGACAAGATTGAAGACACAGGTTCAGTGTCAAGAAAAAGTTATGGTTGGCAAGGGTCTTGGGGAGAAAGGCATGCAGGCCAATCTGGCCAGAGACAACAAGAATAAAGTCCAGGAAGTGCTTGGAACCTTGCCATAAGAGAGTGGGATTATCGCTATGCAACTTGAGATCTGTGTCAAAAACCAGGCTAACATGATGATGAAGAAGCTTTATGGCAGAGGAGCAATCATTGACACAAAACATCCTTTCCAGATTGGAAAGGTTGAGGGTGGTGATGGGTGTTTGCTCCCAGGTAGGACCATCGCTCTGGGCACCCTCTTGGTGCAAGAATAAACCATCAAATATTGCTTCTTAGGTGACTGCATTGTTGTCATTGACCTCCTGCAGGACAGGAACATCATCAAGGTTGAATGGACTGGTGGCAGTAGCATCTTGATTGATTTCATTGTCCAAGTTGAAATTGTTGTCAGACCTGATGGAGGAATGTTCAGAAACCATGATTAATGAGCAACACACAACAGAGAAAGCTTACAAAAAAGTATACTCAGAGTTTGATTCCATCAAGAGATGTGAAAATTAGGGCAAGGACAAGCTTCAGAATTGTGTGGACCAAAGCACATATTATACTTTAAAGCTAGAATCAGGGTCAGCAGTCTTTAATTTGAATTTTGAATATGTCTTTATGGAGTGAGGCAGGACACATTAATTAATGAGTTGCAGGGATTCCAAATACTTGGTGAAATGTCCAGTGCCAAAAAACAGATCAGGGGAAGTGAGAAATGACTGGCACAAGATGGGAGGCTGAGTATTGAAGAGAAATGACAAAAGTCAATAGATGTTAGAAGGAATGCATATTAGCATTGTTGCAGATGTCCCTAACCTATTCACTCAGAAACCAAGACATATTGACATGTGTTGGGTGTCATATCCCATATGCCAGACATAGATCCCATCATATTCCCACGCTTTCCAGACTTATTTCCAGACTGCATATCCAACTCATTCCCAGATCCTCTTCTACTGTGTGCTCCACACCTCAGCAGGATTAGCTCTGCTATGGAATTACCCCTGAGCTCTGGACCTCCAGATCCTCACTACTAGCCTGATATGTACACCCCTATCCTGTCCACCATATGCATATTCCATCCAGCAAGACATCCAGACTTTACCTCCTCTTGGATTCCAGACTACATCCACCACCTCACATATCTCAGTCCTGTTTCCACCCTGTCTTCCAGATCCCCAGATCTCTGGACCTCCAGATATTAACTGTACTATCTCCGGACCATTCCCACCCTCCATCTGAGATCCTGTGCCTATCCCCATTTAGGCATCTCTGCCTTTCTGGTTCTCGGTTATCTCTGTTTCTGTCTTGCTGATTGATCCTTGTATGAGTCTTCATCTCCAAGTTCATTTATTTATGTTCCATCTTACTTACCAATGTGTTTCCACATGCTTTTACATAGCCTCACTCTATTGCTTACTGATCCTCTCAGATATCCTCTAGTATATAACCCCTGTACAACTCCTGTAGAGTCCTTAGTCTGAATATCATCTTAGATCTGTCCTCATCACCTTAGATCTGCCCAATCATCTTCTGGACTTCAGTCTGTCTGAGTCTCATCCTTTTCCATAAGGCCTAGGGATGGATTCCCTAGGCCAGAATTCCAGACCTTCGGATTTGTCCCCTATGTCTCTGTCCCAAGTCTAGGGATTGCTTCCCTAGACTGGAGTCTTGCCTTTTCAGCACTTATCCTCTCTCTGGACTTTGGTCCACTTCTTGTCTCTCTGACTCTACCTAAGGGTAGTCTACCTCTGTTTGCTTCTACATCAGACTTTGTCCGATGTAGCCCCTATTCCTTCCAGACCTCTGGACCTCCTGTCCCTTGTACCTCCGGGCATCCTGTCCTTCAGACATTCTGCCCTCTATACCTTTTGCCCTCCGTATCTTCTGCCCTCCGTACCTTCGGACATCCCATCCTCCTAACCCTTGGACATCCTGCCCTCCATACCTCTGGACATCTTGTCCTCTGGACCTACAGTCCTCCTGTCCTCCATACCTCCAGACCTCCTACCCTTCCATCCTGTTTCCTGTAGAAGTATTACCTTGCAGTGGGAACTCTCCCATGCTCCTCCGGAAGTCCTCCTGCACTCTCCACCAGAGTAGCCAGCCTCCAGAAGTCCTCCAGACTTCATTGGACCATCATCAGACTTCCTCTGAAATGAAGGGCACATACTCAGGTAAGGGGCACAGCATACGAGCTGAGGCCAAGCCCCTCTGAGTTAGTCTCTCTCTCCCTTGAGCATGGTTCTTAACATTGGGTCTCTAAGTCAAGGATAATAAGGTATATGAATTATCCTTGACTTAGAGACCTGACACATGTCAATATGTCTCAATTTCTGAGAACCTTGCACAATCAATACACAAACATAATAATAAATTCAATCACTACTACACATACAATCAGCATACTAAATGACACATTTGGTTGAAAAAACAACAAGAGAGGCAAAGTTTGATACATGATGACAAAGCACAAAGAAAAAAATGACAGCAACAATAACAACACAATCAAGAAGTCAAGGTCAATGTATGAAAAGCGACATGTAATAAAAATGAAGTGATGATGTGAAATTACATGTCAGGAGTGATAATGGAAATATTGCAATCATTAGCATTTGATGACTGAGCCTGGTCGGCAGAACATTTGTGTTTCTTCTTGGTTGGCTGGGATGTAAGCACTGAGGATGAATTGATTAATGAAGTGACATGAAGCAGCAGTGTAAAGATACTCACTGGCATCCTGGTGAGAACATTTTGAAATCAAAGAACCCTCTGAGGGTGTGATGGATGATCTCACTGAGCCAGATTGGTGCAAAAGAGTAAGAGATTTGGATTTGGATTTGGATTTGGATTTGGATTTGGAGCAGGGAGCAGCACAAGTGGAAGCTGGAGCAGCACAAGGGGCGGACTGATGTTTAGGGTGTGCTAATTGAAATGAGAGGGTTAGGATCTCCACATACACATGCAAATGAGAATGAGTACCCTTACCACTGCAATACCTGCTATCGAGAGCATTGAGCTCTGCTACTAACTCCATGTCCTTGACAAGTGTTGGAATGGGCTATGCCCAAAGACTCTGCTATCGAATGACAACAAAGACCTGCTCTCTACTACTGCTTCCGGCTGTTCTAATAGTGCTCCCCTCAGCTAAACCTGGCTCAAACACTGCTGAACCTCCTTCTGCTCTCACCCTCTGCCTAGGGGTCCCCTACCCCATGTGCCCCCCTTTAAAAAATGGCAGTGTCCTCATTGCCCTCACTCATTGTCCTCACTCTCTACTTCATTCTCTTCATTCTCTTCTTCATCTTTGTTTCCTTCTACTGTTTTTGTGTTTTCTTCATCATTCTGGTCTGAAAGGTTTCCTTTGTTCGTTCCAGCCTCTACATTTCTTTGTTCCTCCACTAACTTTGTGCCCTCTCTTGAATAGAACACTCTCAAGCATCTTACATGGAATTCACCAGCTAGTGGCTCTCCTTGGGTCATTTCTAGATGATATGAGTTGTGCAGTCACTCAGTTATGCAGTGTGAAGGAGACCATTTTGGCAAAAGCTTGCATCTCACTTTGAGTGTATTGTGCAGGCTACTGTGGATGAATTGAACCAATTGTCCTTCTGAAAATATTACTTCCCTTGGTGAGCGTGCTAATACTCTCTTGTTGAATGCAGCTTTTCTTTTGATGGCATGTTGTACTGTTGCTTTGTAACTGTCTAGATGTTGCTGTGTGACATATGCCATATGAATGTTGGCATCTGATAATCTAATTGCTGAGGTACTGTTAGCAAGGTCTGTTCATGGAGTATTGATTACTTGGCCTAGGAGCAGTTCTTTCAGTGAGAACTTCAATGCTGGTAATATCTGGCGGTTCAGTGCTGTAACTACCTCTTCCAAGTGTTTTGGTCATGTGCTTGGTAGCTTGTCCCAAGATATTGCTTCATAATTGTCTTCACCAAGATTTGGTGTGCATAACCTTTTAAGTACATGCAATAAAATCTTATTCATACCTTCTACTAGACCATTAATCCGTGGTGAGTATGCTGCCATGATGTGAGTTTTGCAAGACCACTTAGCACAATAATCTTTGACCTCTACATTGTTGAAGTGTCTTCCTCCATCACTCATGAAGGTTTCCAATGGTGTGAAGTTGTGGAATATCTGTGATAGGCTATTGATTGTCATGTGTGCTATTCCTGCTGTTTTGTACTTGAATACCCAAACATGCTGAGAGAATGTGTCTAGATAGACACCTAGGGTATGGTACCCTTGTGCTTTCAGGAGTGTCAAATAATCACCAACTAACAGTTCAAATGGATGCCTGTGTGTAATTGGCTCTAGAAGTGAGTGCAAATGCTATGATCTGAAGTTTTTGCACTTAGTGCAGTTTCCTATTGCTTCTAGGATTGTTGTGTCAAGTTTGGCACTATAGATTTGGTCTGTTAGTGCGATTTTGATGGCATCTCTACCCCAGTGCCCTTTATTCTCATGCTGTTCTTGTGCCATTTGCTTTGCTTCTTCTTTTGTGATGCACTCTACCTTGCTGCAGGCTTGTACTATTGTTCCTCCTCACAGTCACCACAATTTCCCTTCCTCAATCAGGTATTGTGATGCTCTGTGCATTGCACACTTGCAGTTGCATAGGGATTTTGTTGTGTCTGCTCCTATTATTGACTTTACTACTTCTAGAAAGACTGGTTTGTTAGCAAAATGTCTTTGGAGTTCACTTACTGGTTTTTGTTGGTTCATTGACTCAGTGAGTAGGACATCATTGACTAGTCCCAAACTTGTTTCCCAATCTTCACTGACAGTCTAGTTGCTTCCATCCTCTAGTCCAGCATCTCTTGTTGACCTTCCCACTGTCAACTGAGTTTGTCTGTGATGTTGTTTAGTTTACCTGGTACATGTTACACATCCACAATATGGTGCACTAGGATCCCATTCTTCCACCTCACATGCACTGCATTGAGTTGGTCATTGATTAGGGCGTCTTGTAAGGCCTGGCAGTCTGTTTCTATCTCCATAGGGTATCCCCATATTGTGTCTGAGAATTTGTCAAGGCCAAACTTTAGAGCTATGAACTCAAGGATGAAGGGTTTATACTTCTGCTCTGTTCTTGATGTGCACTTCAATGCAAAGGCAATGGGTAGTAGGTGTTTTACCCATTTGCCTGATGGTTTTTGCTGATGTACTCTTTGACTTAGTACAGCCATGAACCCTTCTTGGCATCCATCTGATGTGACTACAAAGTTCAATCCATTGTATCTTGGCACCCAGAGGATGGGTCTTGACACTAATGCTGCTTTTAGATCTAAAAATGCTATTGTGTGGGCCTCTATCCAACATTCTTCAAGTTTGAAATCTCTCAGAATGTGATGGTATGTGGTCTTTGTATATGGAGTTTTGAGTGGTGCCATTTTGATGAGGTCTCTTAGTGGTCCTT